TCTAGGCTCTTTTCAGTTACTCAACGGAGACAAGCACATATTCAGAAATAAATGTGACCTAATTAGGATGATCGTGAAATATCGTTAAAGGGGATCTTTTTTTTATTACAAGTTTCCTAATAATAAAGCCTCTATAACACACATACTTTGAGATTGATATTCAACATTTTGTTTGAAGAAGTAGGCTATCTTTTTTTGAGGTAAGGTACTCTTGCATCCTAACTTATGGAGCCTAAAATTTAACATACTAGCTGAATTAACTATTATATTGTATGTGGAACAAAGATAAACTGCATATAGAGAATAAAAGAACGAAGCATCCTATAACAGCTTATCATAACTGCTGGAAGTATGAAACAACTATTATGATGTATATGGAACAAAGATTTCATAGAAAGAATGAAGCATCCTATAACAACTTGTCGGAGCTGTTGGAAGTATGCAATATTACTTGAGTTTATTGAGACAATAAAACACCAAAGAAAGAGAAGGGTTCCATAGAACATACCTTAGAATGAAGCGATACAACCATCATTATTTTCGCCAAAACCGCAGTCCATGTAACAAGAAAAATGTTGAAAATGCAGGATGCATCCCGAGCATAGATAAGACAGATCAGAACAATCCCACCAAAAGTAGCTATGTTGAAAGCTGTGCACAAAAATAATCCCAGAAGGCCACTGGAAAAAAGAAAAGAAAAGAAATATATTACCACGACAAGCTTGCAGATTTTCCATAACTGACCTCATTTAACAATTAGGAAGATGGTTATAATTACTTACCAAGTTCTACTAACTATAAGAATAAATAACAACAAATCAGACAATAACTTCCAAAAATGTTGTTCATGTTGAAAATGGTCCTTGATGCAGATATAATCATATCATACGTCTTTCTCATCTGGGAGCTTTCAACATGAATAGTGTTTAGGTGCATATTCTGGAGATTGTCTAAACAAGTGGCTGGTTGAAAATGATTATTTTTCCCCTTTACTTATGTGAAGGGTCCTTGACATTTTACAATTCTTAACATTTTACATTTTCTTAGTTATATACTTCTGGCTATCTAGTTTAAAAGTATACATGCTAGCCTTCAACAGCTTAGGTATGCTCATTCCTATTATAGGATGATCAACTCAGCTCCGTTTAAAATTTCTGAATAGATTGGAGAGTTTTCGTAAAAAGTCACCTCCAGTTTTTTCAATTTATAAGTCATTTCCAAAGATTGTCCAAGACAAAGAACTAGTAAAATTATTGCCATCTACGATTTGTTTCAATCTTGAAACAAGTTCTTGCTAGTGTAGTATAATATTCCTTATACATCCAAAGTTTGTACAAGGTAAATTCCCCCAAAATAAATGTATCAGATGTTTGTGACGTCATTTCGTACCACTGTTTTGTTTGAGAATCTGGCATCCAGCGATTGTCGCACCATGCGATGAAGTGGATGACACTTACGAGTTGGAGAAGAAGAAATATCCTGATCAGAAAAGACCCATCAGATAAAAGGCAAGGAAACTCTTTAAGGAGAAAAGGAGAACATTCTTTTGAATCAACAATCATGAGCAAGGATAATAACATAACAATACCGAGCGAAATCTTTTTCATACACATAAGGGAATATTTCATACTCACTGAGGCAAAAGGCGTGCCTTAAGAAACACCCTATGATGAAATTTCATGTTATGTCCCACTTCTTTAGTAGGTTTGTTAGTAATTATGTTAAACATATCAAATGTATTTATTCTAAGCTATTTGGGGCATCTTCGATCTACATATACAATCTCGTATATTTTGGAAATTTGTTCTAGTGAAAAATAAGAAAAAACTTTTCCATATCATTCCTCTCTTCTCTTATTTAATCAAGAGGGAAAAGCTCCAATTTCTATTTTCTCTTCCTAATTTATTCTTCTTGATTTGCCCACATGTTTTTGTCAGCAAGAGACGTATTATTGCTTCGGTCCGTTTCTGCTGCATAGAAAACCAAGGAAAGAAGGGGGAAGAAGAGCAGAGAGTAAAGACATGGGATAAAGTTTCTTTAGCTTTCATTTGGAAAAATACCCAAGGTAGTGTTGTCATAGAATAAAAAAAGGCAGTAAAAAATCCAATGCAAAAAAGTGTAAGATACATTAGATGATATGTTAGAGGGTCAGCATAAGCGCTGCTTAGTTAATTAACACAGATCATGGGTCTCAATTAAAGCTTAGCATCAATTAGAACCAAAGGGCAGTCTATGATTATAGTGATACATTCTCTGATAAAACATGATTTATGGGTATAAAAAATAATAATTGGGTAAAATAATTTTTAATCTTGAAGCTATATGTGCATCAAACATTACTAAATTCGTGTTAGAGAAAACTTAATTCCTTTAGCAAACTTTCTTGTAAAAAAATGTAACAAATTATTATGCAAACCCTCCTCCAAACTTTACTTCATAGAAAGAAAAAAAATACATGCTATTCCACAGGAATTAGAAGAAATGTCATAATAAGAAGTGCGTACAAGGATTGTAAAATTACCCAGCACCAAGGCGAGCAACTTCACCTGCAAAAAAGATCAAAGTAATAAGCTATCATGCCATTTGCTATTTTTTTTCCTTCCTTATTTCCTTTATCATAAATTTAAAATCATCCCAACGAAGAAGAAGGGCATAAACACTATATGATACATACGATAAAAATCTTGTTCTATAAAACACTTTGATAAATTCTATTATTTTACATTCAGCTATGTCAAGCAAAGCTAGTCAAATGAAAATGAAATAGGATGAATGACATATCTTAAATGCTTATAGTCAACATTGAAGTTTATTCCAAGATAGTTAGAACTGGCTTGAGCTATATCTCGTCACCAGTCAATACCACCAGTGACTACAACTTAAAGACATTAATTAGAATAAACTTCAAGCTCAGAGTATATTTAAAAGTCAACATACCATATAACTGGATAAAATCTGCTGGGAAGAGGAATGAAACCATCACCGATGCGAGATATAAGACGAGTTTCAAAGCCCAGCATCTAGATTGCCACGAATTGCGAACATCATGCAGCTTTTTAGCTCCATACGTGGTTACAGACATTAACAAGAAATATATCTGAAATATTGTCAAGGTAAAAAAGGAGGTTCCAAATTTTCTTTTGACAGACTACTGTCAAAGACACTGCCTATCAAAACAAGAACATAGATAGGAAATCAATGAATTATCTCTACATCAAAGTTTGTAAAAGCAATAAGTTCAAATATCTTGGCAACCTCCATTTGAATCACTTAGATTTTAGCCTAAAATGTAGTTTACAGGATAAGGAATGATAATGCTCATGCCTACAAATGCATTACAGAATAAGAAGAGCTGACTCGTATGTTAAATGAAAGATACAAAGCAACCAAAACTCACACGAAGCACACCTCCTTCGTGAAAACAATCATTGTCCTTCATGCTGCAGACACTTATATCTGAAAAGAAAGAAAAGAAAGAAAGAAAGAAAGAAAGAATGTTAAAGGCCAGGGAAAAGTTTGCTTATTCTGAAGAGTTTTAAGAGCATACATTAAACACGCTAAATTATATCCAGAAACAGGTGAAAAGATCAATAGGGCATTTATATGAATGAACTAAATAATGTTATTGTGAGTACATTTTACAATAGAGCTCCGTTACACGAGCATGCTGTCTTGTCATGTTTCGCGGAAGGATTGAACTCTTGATACCCATTGGAAAAAGAATTTCTTATAGTGTGGACTATTAATTGGAAAAGCTGTATGAAAATAACAAAGCATGGCAAGAATGGTAAGGCATTAACAAAGTTCAACATATATTTCACGGATTATATAGTGGCTTAGAAGTTAGAAGTGACTTACAATGAAGGATACTCGGGAATTTGTGCCCATAATCACGAACAAACCAAGCAAATAAATTTGTTTTGAAGAATATGAAACCATATATGTATCGGGCTCGCAGAGACTCTTTCCTTCTCACAAAATACGCATCATTCTCTCGTGCGGATGATTCAGGCCTTGCTCCTTTACTACCTCCTTCAGGAGCAGCAGTTCTCTCCATCCTGCAAACAGCATATAGTATACATGATATGACTTCTCGAAATATATATATTTTTTGTTCAGGTTGAAATCTACTGATGCCTTAAAAAACCGCCCCTAACGTCCAATTACCTAGCATTTATTGCATATTGCTTCTGGAAGACATTATATCAAACATGCTATGTGCATCAAAATCTAAATTCAGCAAAATTGTCTCTAAAGGACCAATCATTTCTCAAATTTGTAGAAACCCATCAAGTTACTGTGATACCCAGCTCAAATTAACACAACCCATCATAAACTTTTTTTTTTTGGCCCTGTAATGGTAACTGTATCTAGAAATTGGCCGGTTATAACATATAAATAAATAAATAAATAAATAAATAAATAAATGAAAAGAAGTTATACAGAAAACTCACTGTCACTATGATAGATAACACACGCTCCTCTTCAAGAAGACATGAAAACACTTCTCTTTAAATACCCTCCGAGATTAAAATGTGATCTTTCTTATTTTTTGTAATTTAGATTAACCCTGCATTAAGTTTGCCAATTCTAGAAAATCTTTATTATGGAGGGTAACTAATAAAGTTGTGTAGGATATAACTAATAAAGTTGAGCATTTTAGGACATTGACCGTCCAAACTTAATCTGACGGCTGTGATTTAGGCACACTTTAGAAATTATTTGAGCCAAGATGACCGTTGGGGGTCACAAGGGTGTTGCCCAAAAGAAACCTTTGCTTAATCTTTGTGTTTAGGTTTCTTAATGGGGTGGGAATTGAAAAATTATCATGGAATTTGGTGAGAATTTGTGGGTGATAGAGTAAATAAATTGATAAACTCAACTTTTTTCTTTCCTCTCTCCCCTCTGGAAGCTATACATGGAGTGAGGGTTTTCAATTGGGTTAGGATTGGGTTTTAGCGTTGAGATTTAACATGTACTTTGTGATTTATAAAATTAATTATTATCAAGTCAGACTAGGATTTCAATTGTTTTCATATTATGAACTCGAGATTTTAAGACCCATGTGAGTTTTCCTATAAGATAAAAACATCGACCTTAGCTTTTATTTAAACGCAAGGAGCTGTGAATTGATAAAAAAAAAATTAAGCAATAGTTTAGTTTACAATATATAAATATAAAGCAAAATACTAATTGGGATGAATGATAAAAAAAGGCAGATCCAACTTCTACACCGCACGCTTAAAATAATAGCAAAAACACTAAAGATGGATTTGTCAGCAAAATCTCTGATGAATATAGAACATGAAACAAAGCGCACAGTCAAATTTAAAAAGTTTTGAAAATAGGCAAGGAAATTACCAAAAAAAAAACTTAAGTTGATAGATACTGAACTCAAGCACTATATCAACGCCATATTTCAAGGAGACTGTTATTATGCGGACACGAATGCGTAATAATATGCCTTGAAATACTATACGAAGAAAAGGGAGTTCCAACAAATAAAATCTACACTACTATATAAAAAAATAAAACCTATACTACTACATAAAAAAATAAAACCTATACTACTACATAAAAAAACCAAGTGGGGCTAATTTAAAATTTAGACGAGTGGTGGATGTATTCTCATTTTCTATCATACTTGGAAGGGCAAAAAGGTAAACAAGAGATGCCCCTTGTTTATCCCCCTCTATTTTATTTTCTAGAATATTCCATATATCACAAACTTTTTATCTTTCTTTCCTCTCTTTTTTTTTGATTTTCTAGAATATTCCATAGCATACTGCACACTTCATGAACGTAGGATATGGGCCTATAAGTACATATCTAATATATTTTAGATTCTAAAAGGAATATAAATTAAAATTACAAGCTCCTGTTAGCAAAAACAATAATATGTGTAGCCCAAAAAGCCAAAGAATATAAAGCATACAATATTTTTTAAAAAAAAACTATAAATTTTGTGCATTAGGCATGTGCATTTTATTCTGCAACATAAAAAAAAATAAAACATATACAAACAATATTAATGGATGCTAAAAACATCACGTTTCCTTATAGGGATCTGTTGAAATTTTTTTTTGCACCTACCACACGTGCATATGCACGTGTGATAATGCTGGTAGTAATAAATGCAATAGTATTCGCACTTACAGGAAAATAAGCACTCCATTATAAATTACTTTTAGACAAAAACTACTCGTTATTCTGGACGCAAAGCAATTACAAGTGCAAGTATCCCGGCATTCTCTGAACTACCATTAAGCTGGCAGCTGATTCGACACGAATAGGAGCCTAAACATATACAACATACTATTGACCAGTTTATGTATACAAACAGCTCACTGCAACAAGATCACAATACACAGCGAAGCTTATAAATACACTGAAAGAAGGATGAAAGAAGGATGCCGCTGCCAAGGGCATACAAAATGAATAGACACGCACTAGCTGTGAGTACAAGCATCTAAGTTGATAAAATTTTTTCATAACTACAGCTCAAGAGGATATTGGAACGTGAATACACTCGAAACACATTATAGCTCTGTGTAAATATCTAAGATGGATAAACATTTACGGTTATAGGTCAAGAGGATGAGCAGATGACCATTTAGGCCCCCTTTTGTGGCAGTGTTTCGAAGGCAGAGACAGTATTGACAAATCTAACACGATGCAGTGGCGCCCCACTTTGTTTAATTGCACAGGCGACTTTATCCTCAAGTGGGCATCTCGCTTTCAACATAGAGAATACATGGTTGTTAAGCCTTCTAACTTTCTTCATAGCTTCTAGTAGGTTCTCATATCCCTTCAACAAAAGCAACAAAATAGAATTAGAAACTACTGACCGAGGTTCCATCAAAAATTATTTGCTGAAGTCGACATAAAACTTATTACATTCAGCTATTCTGGCTTCTAGAGTGTTCGAAGATGGTTTCAGGCCATAATTGTTTTTGTTAAAATTTTCGGCAATAATAATTTTCCGGCCATAATTGTTTTTGTTAAAATTATAGGCAATAATTTAAAACCTTTTGATGTCAGGTCATAATTGATTTTGTTACGAACTGAAAGTCATTTGCTAAAGTCGACATAAAATTTATTACATTCAGCTATTTCTGGCTTCCAGACTGTTCGAAGATGATTTTCAGGTCATATTGTTTTTGTTACGAAGCAAAAATTTTAGGCTATAATTTAAAACTTTTTGATGCCACATTATCTTTTAGTAACTACATCAGTAAATGAATATATCTCATAGGCAACACAAGAAACTCAAGAAATTTAAGGAAGATAACAAGTTATTAAAGTTATGCTCAGCGGAACAAACAATTCAACAGGTTCTTCCATAGGTTCATAAATAACTCCCGATTATGTCAAAAAGAAGGAATGAGGTACAATTTTCAATTATCAGACAACTTTAAAAGGGAAACACAGCAGAAAGACCTAAAACATGCAAGTAGTATCTGTTAATAATGAGAGCTGTGTCTGGAATTTCGATTACCTCAAGATTTTTTTCAGCTGTCTCCCTTATAATCAAATATTTATAAAAACAAGCCATAAAAAATAGAAATCAGGTTTGTGGGATGCTGATACCTGCAAACTACTGGCATTCTTGGACCGATCAGAAGAAATGGAATGTAGGACAGTTGCATTTTCAACTTCTGCTATATTAAGGAACTGATAAGAAAAATCAAAAAGCTCAAAGTCCAGCTGCTGACCAAGTAAGTAGACAATAGTACAGCCTGCCCAAGCTACAGAGTCGCCCAGCAGTTCATGATTTTTTGAATGATCAAGAATTGTCTCCTCCAAGTATCCCTGAAATCCAAAGAGTGTAATTAAGTCAAGTAATAAAAAAAAATTAATGGTTTGTGCTGTGCATCAACGGTCAATCCTAGTAGAAGGTTCCGTAGGAACAATTATTTATTTGTTAAAAAAAAGATCCAAAGAGCTTTGATAAATGAATCATGGTCAATAAGTTATCAAGAAAATAAAGAGTAGAATCAAACTATCTACCATGCAGACAATATGCAGCCCATAGCTTATTAAATTATCCTGATTTTTTCACACTTCATATCATAGAGCATGCACACAAAACGATGATACCAAGGCTCACTTCGCATATCTGATGAAATTTGACCATGTGCACAAAGGACATGTGACAAACCAGAATCAAGATCATATACATAAGTTAATAAACATAACAAACTACATCTGTAACGATATAAAAAATTCTCTGGAATAGAAGCATAAAGAAGCTATGCCCTTAAATGGACATATATACATTTATGAGGTATTATTACCCAGTAAATGTATATGTTAGTTTGTGCCTATCAAAATATAAAGAACATTGACAATTAAAATGCTCCAATGAATATATAAATTAGTTTAAAAAACCAAGATAGGGAGAAACCAACTATCATGGACATTTAAGCTAGACATGAAAAGAATGTATTCTAGATGAGATTCATTGGCGGTACATTCAGATAATGCAAAGCGGAAACTACAGCATGTTTTAGTAACAAAATTGTCTTGTTTTAAACTAATATGTTAAAGCATGTTTTAGTCACAAATTTCTCATATTTTAAACTAATACATTTCAGTAATTTCATGGGTTAAGTACATGAAGGGAAATAAGGATTGGGCATAATAAGAATTATGACAAAGGGGTCACTAAGAAGCCGATAATACAGGAGGAATCCTATCCATCCAATAAGGTAAAGGATAGCAGATTAGGCTTTATAATTCCCTGGAATTGGCTTTCAGTTTATCCAATATGGTAACTTTTAGTAAACAATGCCCAATGACCATCTTATGCATATGTATAAGATAAATAATGGCTACATATTCGTAACTGTCAAACATAGATGGATACGACTTCAAAGAACTAGGTTTCAGATCCTATTACAACCGATTTGTCTCTAATATTAAATAGTTAACACCAAAAGTAACATATCAGATGAGTTTTATTCTCCATGAGCTTGCATGGAAAGGTCCTTGCCCTTTCACTATAGCAACAAATAAATGCAAACCCAAAAATCAGTTGTTTCTTCATTGACATCTTGTTAGGTCAGGAATCAAAGGTTCGTAGATCGCATGAATTACAATAGTATATGGTTACTAGTTTAATCAGGCAATGGAGTTTGAGCTTGAGTATCATCTTGCAGTGTAAATATAAAATGGAGGTACAATATTAGCACTATATCGGGTCTAGTTAATTCAATAAAAACAAATTGTAAGTGATATAGTATGCTGCACTTACAAATTGAAGACCGCTAAAAATTCGATAAAAATCTTTTGAAGTGGTGATGTTGATAAAGCCTGTCTTTGGAGTAACACTCCACTTGCTATAGTGTTTGTCCAATGCTGCACTTGTGAAAGCAAGAGCATATTCTAATACGCTTCCGGAGTTGATGCTTGTTTTGTATAATATATCTGCAGTAGTAAAAACAATTGATTGAAGAAAACTGAACTTCAAATTCAGCCATTAAATGTAAATTAAAATACCTGCTAAACAGAAAACTAGTTATATACTCAAAGTTCCCATCTAGTAAACCAATATTATGTAAATAAAGTAGGAAGAAAAACTCCCGCATTATTTTAAATACCTGAATGGTGCATGAGCATCCCAAGAGTCGAACAATAAACAACATTTGCACGCATTAAAAAGGAAAATGTCAACTAGACTACATAAGCTGTACTACTCCTGTACTGCTAGATACAAAAACGTGGGGTCCATAGAAACTCTTCACAATTCAATTCACAAGAAAGGACCTCAGGTTTTTGTGTATTGTAGTACAAAAGTTGTATAAATTTTGTTGTCCAGTTATCACTACTAGATAAAAAATCCAGTAAACAGATTTGTCATCAGACAACGAACACGATCAAAGACTTTTCATCAGACAAGCATAGAAATGTGTGTATATGTATGTTTTAATGTATATCCACACATATAAATACATCCTATTTTCAAGCTATTTGATCTTTAATAGAATGGTTCCAAAAAGTAATGATTCTGCTACAATAGAATATTTCTACCACTAAGCCTCTGAACAAATAATAAGTGAATCACGATATTATTGATGTATATATACAATATATAAAAGATTAATATGAATAGTATTAAGCATTTAATTGAATGGTGAAAACTGACTTTTGTCACCATAGGGAAAATATTTCCTCATGTGGCAGGTGATCTCCCTCCCTCACTCCCTCCACACGCATAGCACATGCACACACACACACACAGTTACATATATACATGCATATAAAGGTATACACACACACATTATATATGCATACAAACATATGTATGTATCAATGTTGAAAATAACAAAAATGGGTTATATAATGCTTGGCCTCCTGTTAAGGGTTAAGGGGGAAAAAAGCAAAAAAGCAAAAAAAGAAAAGAAAAAAAAACGTAACAAATAACGTAGGTTATATTGTTTGTTAATTGTTTAGATATATTATAAATACTAACAATTCATAATAACTTAAATACTTAGAATCATCAAACTTTTCAAACATAACATCAAAATTATCAAATATAAATATAACGTGTCTGTAGGCTGTCTAAAAATCATAATAAATAGCCTATCCAAACAAGCTCCGACAACGGAGGTCACAATCAGACGACTTCCCAATCAATGCATCCGCAACTCCACAATTGCCACGAACACGACCTCACTTCTGAGATGATTGATCTTGATGGCTGCGACAACAGCATGAGATGTTGATGAGCAATGAGATGATTTCAGAAATAAAAGGTTGGACTTAGTTGGTGAATTGCTTGGTAGAGAGCTGAGGGCAAATATCCGTCTTTAAGACACTATGGATGTTGATTCCCGTCTAGCTCCTACAACGAAAGCTACAATCAAATAGCTTTCGGGTCGATAATCGAAAGTTGCGAATAGAGGGCTTTTCACATAGATCGAGAAGAGTTACAATTCAACGACACTTCCGACGACAGATGAAAACTCTATTCAGCAATCTTCACAATCTATAGTGAAAGTTACAATCTGACGACTTTCACACCCCACAACAGCTAAAGCCAGGATTACTGAATAACGGTCCTTGCAATGCACCACGGAAGAAGCTACAAGTCAAATAGCTCATTCTGAGACGCGGATGTCATCCCCGCGTCATCACTTTGGAAATGAAGGCGACCCCCGCGTCGCCAAGCCACAATCCAAACGCGGGCGACCCTCGCGTTCATAGGGGTTCAATCAACACTGACCCCCGCGTTTCCAAGCAGGCAACAAGCCAAAACGCGAGCGACCCTCGCGTTCAATGGTGTTCAACCAACACCGACCCCCGCGTTTCCAAGCAGGCAACAAGCTAAACGCGAGTGACCCTCGCGTTCAATGGTGTTCAACCAACAGCGACCTTCGCGTCGTCGATGCACAAGCCAAACGTGAGCGACCCTCGCGTTCAATGGTGTTCAACCAACAGCGACCTTCGCGTCGTCGATGCACAAGCCAAACGTGAGCGACCCTCGCGTTCAATGGTGTTCACTAACACCCAACTCTTCGCGTGTCAATCTAAGAAGCGAAGTTGGGTTTCTTAAACGCCAGATGGCGTCTTTGACTCACTCAAACATGAGTCGAACGGTTCCAAAAACCGTATCCACCTTGCTGAGGTGATTTTCCGCCCACATATGGGGGCGGGATATAGGAGTCAGTTACGATCTTCCTGATTCCCCCTATTAAAAAAGCTCAACCAAACCCAACGGAGAAAAAGGGATGGATGATCAGAATCAAAAACCACACGAGTTGGTTGAGGGGCGGCTCTTTCGCAAAACAAAGATTTAGCAGGAGGTTGGATTCTCAGGATTCCAACCACTTCGCGCTTGGAAGATTTCAGTAGGCAAACGAAATCCTTTAGGAGATAGGTTTTGATATCAAAACTCCAGAAGATCAGAATCTGTGAGGCAAAGAATCCTTCAACAACAGAAAAAAAAAACAGTTGATTATTAACGAATTTTCGGTTCCAACAACTCTATCACAGAGTTCGAAAACTCGTTCAGAGTTCTTAAACTCATCAGGTATTCATTAAACTTCCACGAAAGTTCAGGCGTTCCCACGAGAAAAGACGGCGGATCGTCAACGGAGAGCAAGTTCGACGAATCAATAAACGAACGTCGAAGCACCTCCATCGCTGCCAAGGAAGAACCCCTTGTTTAAACAAAGAAGAATCAAAATTCGTTCTCGCCTCTTGTTAATCGAATGTAATCGGAATCAAAGGAAAATACAAAGTCAAATTTCTTATTACTCTTCTTTACAAATTTTTTCCAACATAACAAGAAGATGGCGACTCTGCTGGGACTTGCTTTCTCCTGGGGGGGGGGGGGGGGGGGGGGGGGTCGATTGAAGTGGTGGCTCCAGTCGTACGTCCACCTCATGGGAACGACTGGTAGAAAACTCTCGTCGCTTAGAGTTTGATCAAAGCAAAAATACGAGGAAGGCCTTATCCCTGGATCGCTTAGCCCCAAGCTAAGCATGGTGTCCGCATAGATCTCCAAGGCAGATCAAAGCTGTTGTTGAAGAGCCGAAGAAAGCCCTCTACCTTCGCCAGGAAACTACAAAACTGGCTCTGATGGCGGAAGGACCCACCTCCGTTTCGCAAAGGACATGCTTCAGGCCACAACAGTGGCCTCTGAGGAGAACGAAGGTCCTGTAAACGTCAACTGATCGTATTGCCTGCAAAAGGGCGGGGGTTGAAAAAAACAAGCCAAAAAGAACGCCGCTCGTCGACGGACGAAGATCCAATCGACGAGCACACTTACGAGAAAGCCGATTGTTGGCCCAACGCGAAGATCGCGTTTCTAAAGATCTAACCGAACCTGGCGTCCTCAAAGAAGAGCGCTCACTGCGTGGCAATGAGCCCAACTATGAGCCTAGGCTGATACAGCTCAAATGCGACCCTGACTGGCGCGTTGTTCATTCAAAACGCAGCCCTCAGAACGGAGCTGCCAAAACCAAACGCGACCCTCATAGGCGCGTTCCAATTGAACATGACTCTCAGGAGTCTGTTTCACAAATTAAACGCGACCCTCAGGTGCGCGTTCAAACGAAGCATGACTCTCAGGAGTCTGTTTCACCAACCAAACGCGACCCTCAGGGGCGCGTTCAGCCAAGACTTGACCCTCAGAGGTCAGGTTCATCATTTAAACGCAGACCTCGGCCTGGTGTTTACAACTCTCAACGCGACCCTCGCGTTATTTCTCAGGAACGCGATCTTCAAGAGTTTCGTCAGGTTCAGAAAAGTCAGCGTGGCTTTAAAATTCACGTTCGACAAGAACCAATCTCACCTACCCAAGGGCAGGGGGTTCCAACTCCACCTCCAAGCCCGGGGAAAGTTTCCTCCCAAGTTCCTGACCTGCGGGAACTGTTGTCGAGAGGAAAATCAGCAGCACAAGCAGCTCACTCATGCCAATATGAGAGGCTTATCTCGGCCGTCCTGTCAGAATGCTCTTGTTGTGCATCCACACCTCGGCAGTCCGTATTCGACAGGTTGACAAACGTTGTTAGGCCTGCCAAACGACAACGCCACAACAGAAAAAAGACAACTGAAGCGGAATACTCACAGGTCACTATCAACATGATCGGCCGAGGGAAGGCCTCGCATACTGATTCTGACGAGTCACAAGAGAGTCATCCGCCAACTGTCCGAGAAATTTGTGACCAGTTCGAAGGAGTATATCGGAATACTCGGACTCGAACAGGAGCTATTCGCCCGGTTGACTATCAAAAGTTAGCCAAAGGCATTACAACGAGTGAGGAGCATTCGGCAATAGCCGAATCTCAATCTTCAAGCTCTGTTGGGGCACGCGAGGTCTCCGCTTACATGTCTGGGAACCACGAAGACATCGTCAAAAGAGTGGACGAACATCATGTCATGCTCCAGGCGCAACAGGAGACACTTCTCCAATTGAAGGATATGCTGGCTCAGCTTCTTGCTGAAAAAGGCCACAAACCTGAGTCTTCCCGGAGAACAACTTCAAAGGGAAAACAAAGAGTGCATGAACAGTCAGATCATGAGACTCACAACCTGGGGTCCTCTTCCGAAGGTGAGAATGAGGTGGAAAAAGAACTGCATCCTCAGTCCACCAAGATGGATGAACTGGAAGCTCGCCTCAACGCGATCGCCAACCGAAGCGAGCTCCGCGAAGAAGGGGTAGTGCGGCCTTACCCTGCTGAGTGGGATACAGCTCCCTACCCACCGAAGTTTAAGGCCCCTACCTTACAACCGTTCGATGGTACAGGATCGCCAAATCAGCACATTTACTACTTCAAGTCCCAAACTGGGGATGTAGTATCAAACGACGCCATCCTGACCAGGCTGTTCATCGGTACCCTTAAGGGTGTCGCATTCGAATGGTTCATGAAGCTGCCTGCTGGATCTATCCAAAAATGGGTAGATCTGAAAAGGCTCTTCTTGGCTAGATTCTTCGAGGACGACACGGAGGTCTCAGTCCCAACTCTTCTTGC